GTATTTTTATATTAAATATTTTTCTTCTACAAAAACTGTAGTTATCTTTTTAAGTTGTTACTGTTTCGTTAAAATATCAAAAATACCAAAAATATTTAAATTTTAAATTCCTGCAAAAATTATTTTTAGTTTAAGTAATTATCTTTTTAAAAATAGAAAAATTTTCTAAAAAGTGCATATTACATAATCTTCCCTCTGGGTTCGATATTCAGGTCTTAATCAAAAAGTTCTATATTACTTGATAACGATATGTATACTTACGTAGTATCCCAATATAAATATATATAAATTAAAAAGATCAGGATCAAGTTTTTGGTTTTGTTGCAAAATAAGAAAATATAAGTGAAAAATACCATCAAAACTATTGTTATATTGTGCATAAGCATTAAGTCCGGGATCAGTTACCAAATCAAGAATCAGACTACTCAACAAATCCTCTTTCAAGGGGCCCGCCGCAATGGACTCTACCTAATTCCACCACAACCTCCCAACAAGCCATGATCTCAATCTTCAAAACCACTAAACTCTGGCTCCAACGAATCAGTCATACCAATGACAACATCATTTTAGTTGTTTTGAAGCAATATCCAACTTTATGTATTCCTAGGAAAACATCATTTTGTAATTCCTTTATTATAGCTAAACATAACAAATTAAGCTTCTCTTCGTCTAGGAATCATCACAATCACTCCTTGGAACTAATCCACACCGATGTATGGGGATCATCCCCAACATCCTCCAATCAAGGATACAAATTTTATGTGTTGTTTATCGATGATGCTACTTGTTACACTTTGTTGTACCCCATTACTCATAAATCCTAAACTATAACACACTTCATTAAAATTAAAGAGGAAAAATAATTTAACACTCAAATCAAGAACTTACGATTCGACAATGACGTGAATATAATAGCACACAATTTCATACCTTTCTAACCTACATTTACATTATAAATCAACTTTCTTGCCCCTATACACCTGAAGAGAACGACTTAGCATAACGCTAACACGACACATACTCGAAACAATCAGAAATCATAGTTACTTTAAAGATTGATGTAGGTTAGAAAGGTAAGGATAAGGATACTCGTTCTCTACTTGACCTCATTCAAAATAGAAGAGAAGGAGAGTTTGATGTTCACTTGACTTTATTCAAAACATGAAATGAAGAATGAAAGTAAACTAATGTATGTCTGACCTCACTCAAAACGACAAAACAAAGGTAAGGGTAGGGGAAGAAAGTGCAAAAGAGTGGGGCTATATAAGAAAATTTTAAAAAAAGGACCAACTAACCTATTCTAAAAGAGGCAGAAGGCTAAGAATTTCTGTGAATGGAAACCTTAGCTGGGGAGAAAGGATAATAGTAGCAAGATTGAGGAGACTCAACCTAGCTAGTTCAATGGAAGTGATTTTGAATTTCATCTTTTTCATTTGAGACTTCTTATGATTATTTAATGTTTAGAAAGTTTACTGGGTATAAAACAACATAGGGGAACTACACCTTACCCAATGGTTATTCAATTACTTTGATGTACTTACACATTTTATGATTTTTTAGTTGTATTGGATATAGGACTCTGTGCGGGAAATTACACCTTGTCCAAATGAAAACCAGTCTGAAAGCTTTTTAGTTTTATTTTTTGAATTAGCTATTATTTTGTTCATTTATGTTCTTTTGTTTGTCTATTTAATTTTTTAATTTGTTATTTCATTTTTATATCCTTTTTTGGTTTGTTTGGTTCACTCATCAAATCCATTTTTATTTATACTGGGTAGGACCTAGCGTCATTTTAATCAATTGCGTAGACCTGCATGAAAAGTAGTTAGAAGTAATTGACTAATTAGCAAATTCTAAATGATGGATGAAAATTTCTCCATTAAAATCTTCAAAATTAAAAAACAACCATGTTTCTTTGGAGAATATAGCAAAATTCTCTTTAATCCATCGAACAATAATCATATGATTTGTGTTGATAGACATCCACCATGCTATACTACCATTGCATATTAGTTTTCCCTATTTAGTCGACTGTCATCAACTA